AGCCCGCGACCAAGTTTCCTGCGGGAAAATGCCGATACAAACAGACAATAATTTGGAGAGGAAGGATTGGACGGGAAAGGCTATCAGCATCGCATGAACATGGGCCAGATGGAGTATGTTCTCGAGACGTGAGTGGGGGATTGTAAGTGTCAAGATGACCGCCCTGTTCTGCAACAAGCGAAACGCAAAGGTGTTGGATTCGTCGGCTGTCGAGAGAGCCCTTGGGGTACTGTACGGGAAAGAAAGTCGTACCGACTCCGACTCCGAGACCGTTTCAAAACACTATCGCTGTCTTCGGGCGCGTGAAAATCACCACTGGCGGGGAATCGTGGAGTTTTAGAAATTTCGGGCTATCTTAATCTAGGAATCAAGCGACGGGAATTGGTGAGCTAACTGCCCTTAAGCTTTGATTCGCCTCAGAAATCTTAAAAAGAGATTGTTCCTAGCCAAAAAGATAATTGAGGAAAGAGTAAGCGCGCGCGTTTAAGGGTAAATTATGCTTGGCGGAAAAAGCACCAGAGTGTGGGCAAGCAAGTCAGTAAGTTAATTTGCCCGCTAGAAGAGAGCACTTAAGGTACAGTACCGGTATCCACCGATGGGAACAATGATTGTGCTTTCTTCTGGTTCGTCCGCAAGTTGCCATCGGTTCGAGAATACCGACTGGCCATCATTCTCTTGGATAGAAACATCCCCAATGGGGAGGCGAGTAAGAGAGGTTTCGATGAAAGAAGTAAAATTCAGGATATCTTCCACGGTGCATCCCGCCAATAGAAACAAGGGGTATGGCTGCTGAAAGGCCAAAAGGGAAGGCACTCGTTGAAACCGGGAGCTTCGGACGGATTACTCGTATCATCTCCAGGAGTACCCTACTTGTACCATCGCCTCGTTGCCCAAAATTTCCAAAGACAAGGCGACAGTAGTCTCAGGTTTCTACACGATTGGCCAGACCAGGGGGTACTGTACAGTAGGTGTACTAGTACAGGTACTTGCACAGTACCATCATCACCTTACAGTACCAGGATCTTCCTCAACCACCTGAATTTGAACAGGCAGGCGAGAACTCGGGGAAAACGATACGGAAGGCCTGGCAACAGAAGAGGTCCCGTGGACTCCACACATGTCCAACTGCCACTTGCGGGCCGGTATCCTAGGCGAAATGCTGTATCTGTAACGATTGAACCAGCGTGAGATGCCACATGCAGCAGATTCCTGCTGGAAAAGGAGAAATACTTATAACCAAAACCGAGAGTTTTTTAGAAGGATCCCTAACCCGAATTGAGTATTGCCTACTGGTAGTCGGTATTGCCCCACAATTTTTAGTCAAGATAGGACTGATTCCTTGTGTCATGGGTTCGGGGAAAAGGTTAATGGGAGGATGAGGAGATGGCAATAGAGCTGAAAGTGGTGATGGTACTGATGGCGCCTTACGTCGCTCGGACTTGGAGGGCTTTGCAAGGTCACAATACCGCATTGTACGAATACAAAAGCAAGGTTGATACCGCAACAGGGTACAGCATGTCATGGAATGGCTGCCTCAACTACCGGGGCTACGCGAAAATCATATAAGGAGATCAGAGGTCTAAAAAACAAGCATAAACTACTCGAGTCGATAGCCAGGCCTTAAGGCTCAGAGATTTCCAGGAAGATCCCTCTCGTGCCTTCCCGATGCCCGTACTTCCACGAGTACCGTATCATATCGAGGGGGGGTCAAATAAACGCAAACACGCTGCATCGCATCTAATGTACGAGTGCTGTACTGTACAGTACCCCAACTATAAACTCCGTCATAATAATTCTGGTCACCTCAACATTGGAAGCTAAAAATAAATATAGTTAAAACTATGTATACCACCCTTCAGCACCAGTGACAGCCTTCATCCTCTCGGGCATGCTCCTTGCCGGGGTTTGAAAATAATCTGGGTCCGGTAACTCCCAGATTTTTGGCTGAGGCGCGGTAGTTGGTCGGGAGGCTGGATATTCGCGCTCACTTGCCACCCCTCGATGCAGTTTTCACCAGGCACATGTCCGAACATTCCCTGTTAGCCTTAGGACCTAGGGGGCAGAACTCGGGGTTCACACACCTGCGCTCTTCATATATCGGGATACCGATACCTCTGACTAATGAGTGGAACTTATGGCTTTTCCGGGAGTATGATACTTGGGTGAACACAAGTGATATGATACCAAAGGACTAAAGAAGCCACCTTACAGCCCCTCATCCTCCGAGTATCCGCCTCACCTTGTGTATCCCAAATACCGGTACCAATTCGACAACCCCCCGACCCCCCCTCCCCGCCATGCACGTCAGACCAAAGGTTTATGCAAAAAAGGAAAAAAAAACTAGAAATGATGTACCAGTACAGTACTCGTATGAGGACCGGTCCTCCCCGGTCTTAGCCACCAACCCAAAGACCAAATGACCCTATGCCCCCCCCCCCTCTACTTCAACTACAGCCCAACCACTCCCGTAATACAGCACCTAAGGCCAATGTCATTTGTTGGCTGATATTTGTGGCTGGGGGTAGACCTGGCATTCAGCCCAAGAGACGGACTTTAAGTACTCGTACAACTACAAGCATTGAATCCCCAAAACATCTATTCCTAGCAGCTTTGGATTGGTAGAGGGACCTCTACTCGGGACTAATCACCAGGACAAGATATCTCGGTCCGTATCAGTACCACTTTACCGCACAGTCGTCTTAAAAACATATCCCCCAAAACATTCCGCCAAACAACAAGCCAACAATACCGTTAATATCATACTTTTGTGATGGTGAAAAAGGAGAGCTTTGCCGCCACACATTAAGCGAACCCAGGTCAAACGCCGACGCCTAGTCCACCCGAGTACCGCCTTGTATCAGAATTCTTTTTCCTGTTTTCAACTCCGCTCGTTTACACTTCTTGCCGTCTTGCGCTCCTGCCGTATCGTTTCGCGAAAGTTTCGTTGGAGCTGAAGACAACCGCGCCAAGGGGTAACTTAACTTAAGTGGGCAAGAAGATTATCAAACCGCCACGGCCTTACAAAAGCAATCATGGAGATACGACCGGTCGGACCCTCAACACTTAGAGGTGATCTGAATTTCACCAAAGGATACTGCACCTTTGTTCCCCCCTTCTCCCTCCTTTCGGGTTCCCGGTAGCGAAAGTTGCGGAGGTGGAGACATCGACCCAATAGCCGCAGTAACTGAATGATGCATGAACCCTCGACGACTAATTTCCTTTCCTTCTGCCAACCACCCCCCCCTGGCTACCAAGAAACTTAATCTCGCCTACAGTACAACCTATCACCTCCGCGTGAGTCTAGAGTATCTAGCCTGCGCCAATTATATTTGATCTAGTACAGCCCAACAGGGCGTGGAAGAGGGGGGGGGGCGTGTAACAACTCCCCCCCGACTTCGACTCCCCGATTGGCAGGAAGAAACCAACTACAACTACGGTACCGTGCCCGCAGACTATTTTGAAGCTTAATACTCGTAGAACTTGTATGCGAACCACTCCCCCCCCCCTTCGCTTCTGGCACCATACTTGGGCATTTCCCGACGGGGCAACGGGTGTTATGACCTTAGGAGTTACCTTTTTTTTCTACAAGTACTTGTACAAGACCCTACATTTGTTGTATGATACGTCGGTTTATCATACCAAAGTGTGAGAATTGTAGGTCTAACAACAAGGTTTGCTGCATAAGTATCGTACCGGTGGTGATTGTGCGGTGGGCTGATAAGTTAAGGACTCACGAGACCTTGAGCGTCGGCGCTTGCTCCCGTAGGTATTGGATCGCTATGGGAGCGGTGCTTTGCTATCGTAATTCTGTGATGGATTTTTTTTTTTTGATCCCTTTCTTAGGGTTAGGGATTTTTATTATTTTAGCTCTGATCCGACATCGCTGTCCCATACTGTGAAAGTGAAATGCGCAGACCCGCTCTTATCATACGTGTTTTATCATATGAATGCCTGTGTATTTTGGGGACTCCCGTGCGTGCTGTAGTACTCGTATAATACATGTATTCCCAACGTACTCCCCGTAGGGATGTACCCCCCCGGCACAATTTTACCAGTATAGTATATCATGGCACGTTTACTCGAGTATTGTGCTGTACTAGTACAGTACTCGTACAGTGCAGCACCGGCAGTGAGTTTTCACGGTGCCGTAGATTTCTACAGCCCGCCTTGGTAGCGATTTGTCCACATCCGATTCGTTATCGATTACCAGATCGGCAACGCTTATTCAGCGCAGCTAGGCACCATAGAATACTGCCAAAATCGGTTTCCGCAATGCCTCGCGGAGGGCTTGCGCGCGGCGGGGATTTTTTGAGGTCATTTAAACCGATTATGCTATGATACTATGCCATGATGCGCCGATAGCCCCACCCCCTCTGGGCACGTCGTCGTCCCGCTTAACATTTCGGGTCCCTTGGTGCCTTGCTTGGAGATATCGAAGTGGATGAAATGCTATGGGAGGTACAAACTATTCCACGCGCGAGGAGAAGAAGGGGAAACGATGTGTGGTCTAAATTATATCTTGGGCAATTATTGTTTCGTTTGGTGCATTGCGTTGAGGAGGTTTTCCGGTGTCATCATGATTCGGTAATCGTACATAAAGTGCCCCTCCTGGAAAGCGGCTTTGTGGACTCCGGAAATGAGGTGAATCATCATAGACCTGGAAATATACACGAGTGACCACATGTGAAGAATGTGTTTGGACCTCCTCACGAAAAGATACCCTACGGGTCATGGAACAGGCGGCCGGTGTAGGGGGTAGCCAACAGATCAGAAAAACAAAAAACAATCGATAATTCTGAGTACTCCCCCCGGAGGCCGCCGTGGCTAGATCAGGGAAGAAGAATGCGATAGAAAACACAAACGTATATAGCGAGCCACTAAGCAAAAGCAATAAATCACCCCTTCGAAACCGAAGGAGGAGGAGAGAAAAGAATATAGGAGAGCCATAGGAAGACCGGAAACCATCGCAAAAAAAAAAAAAAAAAAAGAACGAAAAGAGATCAATCAACCGGCACCCCAGCCTGCAAGAGTGCCCTCCCAAAGGCATCGAAAAAGCTCTCCTTCTCACCGACAACCACTTCATAAATCTTTATAGTAATATTCCTCCATAACACTGCCGTCAAAAGATCACCCATCATCGCTCCCGCTGTAACAACATGGACAAACAGGTTGACGACCGGATAGCACATGTGCCCATACCTTTCTATCACCACTCTCCCCCCCTTGGTTGCAATCTTGAACCCCAGCCCATTGAGCGACTGCTTCGCAAGGAAGAAAACATCCGGGGGACGTTCTGTTCTTACGAGGAACGTCTGGAGAATGTGTGTTGGCGAGAGTAGCTGGACGCGGGGATGAATGAATTCTGGCTTGGTATAGGTTGCCTCGATGCCCTTTATCAGCTTTATCATAGGCGCAACTCCCGATTCAATCTTCTCAGTCGATTGCTTGAGATAGACTTTGAATTTTAACGCCTTCTCTACCAGCTCATCGCGCTTATCCTGTACCCCCTGTGGTTCTGCGGTTTCGATCTCGCACATGGTACATTTGCATTCGAAACCCCACTCCGAAAGGAACGCTTTCTGACGTTTCTGCACACCGGATTCGTTCTCCATGTAATTGATGGTGATTTCCTCACCTTCGGAGAGGTCCCTTGCCGCACGAACTATGAGGAGGTCTCCGAGGAATGAGCGGGTGGAATTTTGCCAGCAGGAGTGGTTAATATATGAGGGCATTATCCAGAGTCCTGAGCCCTCGGCGGTACCAGTCGGTGACGCCTCTGCGATCATTTTTTCCACCTCGGTTTTCTCTCTGAACAGGTTCTCGAGAGGGTCATCGACGGAGCTGAGCCGACTGCATTCGAAAGCGTTCCTCAGCATGATGCGCATTACTAGATGTCTGATATTATTAGCAATCGGGACCTTTGTTGGGGGGGAGGGGTGATCAGTACTTACGAGTCGACGATCGGCAACCCGTCAACCGTTTCTCCTCGAACTCTTTTATAATCCCCAGTGTGTAGATCATAGAACCTTTTCGCCTTCTTCGGGTTATGGTATAGCTCTTGTATTAGCTCCTGGACAAGTTGTGAGTGCGTGCCGGCCTGTCCCTTCCTAGCCTTGAGGTTGAACAGAATCTCGAGCCTAGCATTCGCAGCCTCCTTGTGGCAAACTTTGAAAGCCTTCGAACAGAGCAGCAATTCCCCAAACTTCACATCCCGAGTAGCGAATAGCCCCCTCCCCTTACCCCCCGCTTTTCCAACCCTGACTGGCCCAACATACTCTGCACAGTCGAGTTTACCTCTTTTCTCCCCCCACTCCTTGACTTGATTTCTCATTTTTAGGAATTCATATTTCCCGGTTCGTTGCTCTCGCAAACGCTGGAAGGTTCGGAGGAGCCTTTCCTTTGCATTTTTATTCTCCGGAAACTTCTTCAGTAGTTTTACAAGGCGGCTTTTAGCGGATTCGTAGTCACCGTCCTTGTAGCAGGCCAGAGCACTGCGATAAAGAGCCTTTTGATTCAGTGGTTCATAGGAGAGCACCTTGTCGGCGTCAATAAGGGCCTTCTCATTGTAGCCTAGTTCTAGGTATGCTTGGGCACGATTAAGAAGTAGGAATATATCGGATACTGAACCGGGTTCGGCGATTTCGAGGCCTTTGGTGTAACTTTAAGAAGTTAGCAGAGCTCGCCCTGAATATTTTTAGTAAGATTCATCGTGGTGCGACCCTCAGCCAAATAGAGTTGACTATAGGCAAGCACTAGCATTTTCCTCCAACTCGGGTTGAGGCCATACATGAACCCTGTGGTAAGGGTCGGCTCAATCTTCACCCTAGAAACGAATCTTGCTGTTTTCACGACCTACCATTGCGCAGCTTCAAAATACTGCTTCTTTTTATAAAAGCCATTCCCGTCATCCTTCCAATCTAAGGATCTCCTCGCCAATAGCTTAAGCCTTGGCCGCCACTTCTCTGGAATCCTTTCGTCTTCACCGTCCAAGAAGATGATGTCGGAGACATGATCGACGCGGATGCTCGTTCCACCGCTGGAGGTCGTCTTGAAATACGGCTCCTTGACGATAAAAACCTGCCCCTCGGGTACAATGCATTCCGGAGATCTTCGATCATCCTGATTGTATATCTGCACCAACTCCACTTCTCCATTCTCGTCTTCGGCGATGGTTGACACTGAAACATACCTATTCGGGAAGACAACCGCTCTAAGGATTATATAACTCCCCCGATGGGCGAGTTCAAGCCTTAGATCGTCCAGGAATTTCTTCTCGAGAGTAGCGAACGGGGAGGTGCAAGGGGGATGTTCGTTGTAAGCTATATTGGTGGAAAGCCCAACGGTGCTTCTTCTAATCCCATCACTCCCCACCTCCTCCGAGGCCTCCCTGTTAAAGGAATTGTGGTAGAAAATATACTGGGACCGTGAAGGTTTATAAAGGGGTTTCTCGCCTTTGCGGGCTTCAGCCTCCTTGAGGATTTTCTCCGCCCTGGTGAAATAATTAAACCATTGGTCTGCCCACGTAGGCTCTTCGTATCTGAACATCTCGTCTCGAGTGAGAGTCTGTTTGCCGGTTTCACGGTGAGAGGCACGCGTGAATTTGTTCGGGCAATTCCTTGAGGATTTGGGGAGGGGAAGGCTGGCTATTTGTCCCCCCCCGCAGAAAATTCGACTCGCGTTACGATATCATTAGCTCCTAGGTGTTTCAGGCCTCCAATTGTGCTGTTCCAGGACTACCGTACGCAATCGCATCCGGCCTTACATTTCCTTCGCCCTCATTCAATGTCACTCGCCGGGCGCTCTTTGCTCCAACTCACCATTGGGGTTGGGGCCGCGGGGGGGATAAGGCCCGCCCGTTTCTCCCCAGATGACCGAAAAGATATAGAATATCATAGGTAGAAAAATATATTTTGCAAAGCGTGCAACCCAGTGTCGGGCATTACCCCCTAGTCGCATCCGCAGACAATCCTCCAAGGGCTGTTCTCTCCAGAGAGACCCGACGAGCTCAGCCAGGTCGTGGAACCGGTGAGGAACACCGGCGCTTGGACAAAGAAATTTTGCTGCGTCCCCTCCATTGTTCCCGGAGTGTTCCAGCACTCCGTGCAGTATGCAGAGCGGGGTCATCCCCGGCCCAATCCGAGCGCAACGGGTGAAGCAGTTTCCCGGCAAGTTGGTTGGCCTTAAAGCAACGGCACACCCTATCATTCAAGGCGCATAATTTGATGATTCAAAAAAAAAAAGCTCAGGACAACCGCACGTGAAGTGAAAAACAGAAAACGCGAGAATCTACTGAAAAGAAATCGGGGGGTTAGTTATTTTTCCCCGCTGAAAATGAAACGCCGATGTTAGCACTTTGAAATTGTTTCCCGCTTTCCTATTCTCCCTCCCCCCAAAAAAAGAAAAAACGAAAAAAAGGGCATATCATACCGTACTATAAACAACATTTCACTCTCTCCCTAACAACTTACCACATATCCACCGGGCTCGAAATGTAGACTAGAGGTCCAAGTTTGAAGGTTGACAAACATATACCCCCTTGCCAACTCCCGAGAAGCAGTCCACCATTTCAGCTATAGGAGCCATCGAAGAAAAGTACTCGTACAAAATTGACCATTTTCCGTACTGACATCAGGAGCAACACCTATCCCTTCTATCATGACTGGAGCGCCCCAATAGCACCAAATAATCTTCTGCCGTACGTTTGGGGTAGGCTGGAGCCTCGATATTATGAATCACCTCTATGTCAAAGCACTGTGCTTGATTCGGGTCTGATACAGTACCGTGCCGGTCCTCTCCTTGCCTTGAACCACTCAAACTTGGCCATCTAGCTCTGCTGATTTTGCCATGTAGGATTCTGTTCGGGATCGTGGCAAACGAGTATTCTGCAATCTTATCTTATCTTATCTTATCGCTCTGGTGATCAGTAAAGTACGATAATTTTTATTGATATTATACCGTGGTAGATAAGTCATTGCTTACGTGGTAGATTGTTAGATGTGTGATGCAAACTGCACTAGGGTACATTGTTCAGCATATATGCATCAGATTAGATGGAATAGATTGTATTTTTCTTATCTGATGGATCAAATTTGCAGATTAAGGTTGAACAGTATACATAATGAGATAAAAACCCAATTGGAACAATGGTTAGAGATTGGATTCTAGGCCTAATATGCAATATAAACACAGTTTTATTAGAATCTACATATGGGCTGTTTTTACTAAGATGAGGAAAATGCATTTGAAGTCTGGCAAGCAGAAAAAGTTATTTCCAGCAAATCTTATTTTAGTTTTCCTTCAACTTTAACTTGCTGCTACCTCATGAAAAGAATATTTAGGCCCTACTCGACTTGCCACAAAAATCGCAATTTTTCCACTTTAATAGGATTTTTTCTGTAATCTAGCTATATTTAAATTAGGCTGTACTTGGCTTGATATAAAAATTGTATCTCAAATTTTTTAAATTGTGAATTTTATCAGATGTAAATAAGATATAGGGTTTTATGAAATGGATTCTACAAAGATAATATACAATTGGAATACTGTAGTAGATACAACTTGAAATTAATTTCATATATGCTATTCTGAGTCCACCAAACTTTAACAAATATTTTTAAGCAATCAGAAAGAGGAAAACTGCAGTTGAGAGGAGAAATTGCCTACATTATAAAAAGCAATAAATGATTGGCAGTTATTCTGTGAAAATCATAGTTATTACTGAGTACCAATTTTTTCAGAAAAATATAATTTTTTTATTTCACAATATATCGTATTTTCTACTTTTATTGTAATATTTTTAAATTGGTACAAGTCAAACAAGGCCTTAGGCCTAGTTCGGCATGCAAGAAAAATGGCATTTTTCTCACTTTTACACCATTTTTCCCATTTTGTTTTTTTTTTTTTAAATAAATGGATGCCAGTTCAGTGCACCTATGAAAATGACGTTTTTTTTTTAATAGAGTAGCTTTCTTTTTTTATTGTAAAATAAGCAGGGGATTAGGAAATAATAGAAATATGAAAATAAAATTAATGAAATGACCAATATAATCTGTATGAGAGTGATAATAATTTAAGTGAATGTCTCAATAATGTTTTCCAAAATAGTCTGATTAATTGAAGAGCAGTGTACAAATTAATATTGACACTAATACATGATCAAATCTAGCAATTATTTGATTCAATCTAACTGCAACGAATCTCAGCATTACAAACTTGATGGAAGTTTATTACTCCGAGTAGTAATAGCTACGATTGAAGAACTTGGAGGCTGTTTTAAAAAGCAAGTGTATTGAACCTCTGCTCATAGTAGCACAGAGTATATGATGGACTTGCTGGATGAGAGAACAAATACACGATACTTTTCTGACAGTTTTTCAATGTTTCACACTTGTTTTCTCAAGCTATGTAACTGGCTGAGTGACAAGGGAGGTTTGATTAAAACTAGGGAGATAATGATTGAAGAGTAAGTGGGAATATTCGTGTGGACAGTAACAAGAGGTGCATCCAATAGGGATATATAAGAGTACTTTCAATATAGCGGTGATATGGTTAGTATGTATGAATCTTTCTAAATAAAGCTGTACAGTAAATTATTTTATCTTGTAATTGATTCTAATTAAGTTGTTTTTTTATCAAAGTTTATAGTTTGATACCTTTGAGTAGTTTCGTTCATACTACACATGAACAGATTTGTGTATTTCAAGACTGCCTGATTCTACGATGGAAAAGGAAGACTTCGACAGACTGTATTTCAATATACTTAGTTGAACAGTTACGTCTTTATTTTTCAGTACACCCTCAAAGCTGCCTTTAGTTCTCAGCTCTCGCCTCCTCTCTGGTAGAGCTGGCCACCTATCAACTATTGTACTTATCACCGATAATGTGACTAGCACCTTGTGAACACATTACATTTTGTTAATCTCAGTAAGTGGTTAACAACCTGTCACTGGATGTATGCTTGATCAATCTATTGACATGTACCACAGAACACTAGCGGAGAGAAGCAGCAGAATTACAGGATATTTGGCTACATCATTGTAACTGGTACGGGTACTTGGTTATTGGTTTTGTTTTATGTTTTGTTTTAAGTATCGCTTTGATACTTGGTTAGTTTTAAGTATCGTTTGATACTTGGTTTTGTTTTATGTTTTGTTTTAAGTATCGCTTTAATACTTGGTTAGTTTTAAGTATCGTTTGATACTTGGTTTTGTTTTATGTTTTGTTTTAAGTATCGCTTTGATACTTAAGAAGTTTTACCAAAGTGTATCGATTGATACCTTTGATTAGTTTCGTTCATGTTAAGACATGAACAGATTTGTGTATTTAAAGACCACCTGTTTCTATGATAGAAAGGGCAGACTTCGACAGACAGTATTTCAATATACTTGGTTGAACGGTTACTTCTTTGTTCCCCAGTACACCCTCGAAGCCTCCTTTAGTTCTCAGCTCTCGCCTCCTCTCAGGAAGAGCAGGCCACCTGCCAACTATCGTATCTATTACTGATAACGTGATTAGCTCCTTGCGAACACGTTACATTTTTTTAACCTCAGCAAGTGGTTAAGAACCTCTCCCCGGATTTAGGCCTGATCAACCTATCGATATCCACCTCAGAACGCTAGTGGAGAGAAGCGGCAGAATCTCAGCACATTCGGCTTCATCTCATACCCAAGATAGAGTCTTTGACGACCAGGAGTGGGAAGCAAATCCCACGGCAAGACCTCACAAGAAAGAAACAACCCCGGTGCTCTGCTAAAGAGCCGGGCGATCCTGCAAACACGGAAGATACACAATCTCCAGGAGAATTCCCCTCTACCCTGGCAAAGAAGCCTTCCTTTGAACCTCCAAGCGACCCCGAATCTAGTAGCGAATCAGATATGGCTAGCACAGGAGGAGGGCCTTCTGGAGGAGGGAAATCTCGGGCAAGGCCTGAAGAAGAGGAGGTACCCGCAGCATTTGAACCCTCTAAGTTTAAACTCCACCTCCCAGCAAAGTTCACAGGAGAAGGAAAAGACCTCAAACCTGAAGCCTTTGAACGATGGGCAACAGAACTCTCACACCTCCTACTCTTATAAGGAAAAGATGTGGAAGACCCTACAACTGGACTTATCATTGGATCGTTCTGTGAAGGAAAGGCAACCGACGCATACCATCAATGCTATAAGGATTTCGGCGGGAATGTAAGATTAAGAGGATCTACAGTTCTCGATTACCTGAAAGGACGATTCCAATCCTCTATAACCAATGACCTCCTATACAACAAATTCAACCAGCTCCAGCAAGTTAACGGGACGCATGTCAAGTGAATCACCGATGTGGCTACGGACCTAATGATGTATAAGGACCGGATGGAGAGAGGAAGTATCTCCAAATACATCCTGAAGTGACGATTCTACGACACCATGCACCCTATCCTCCGGCGAGAAGTAGAACCACTCGAGGAAGATGGCGATGATATTGCAATAATAATTGCAAGAGCAGAACGAAAGGACGCCATTCTCCATCAGACCAAGGCCTACAAAACACTGACATCCTCTAATAGGAACAGC